TATACATATATATATATATATATATATATAGATATATATATATATATATATATATATATATATAGATATATAGATATATATATATATATTTAAACCTGTAATATTATAATAGTGTAAGGGTTGAATTTTAAACTTTTAAAATTCTAGGGTTTGGAACTAAATGTGTCAAAAGAAGACTCTACATTTACAAATTCCAAAACTTGAGGGCAAGTTTTGAACTTTTCAAAAACTTTTGGAATCCATAACATATGAGTTTAATATAGGCTTTAATGAAAAGACTCTTGAAAATCCATAACTTGAGGACAAGTTATGGTGTTCATAATACCATTTATGAGAAAAAGACTCTTCAAGTTCATAACCTATGACTTTAATGATTTCTTTAAAAGAAAACTTTTCATTTTCCATAACTTGAGGAAAAGTTATGCAATTCATCAATATCATTTAGATCAAAAATTCTAACAAGAAAATCAAACAATTTGTTTATGATCTAAATTAAACTCATAAGAACAAGACAATTCAAATCAAACAAATTTCATGTAATTAGCCTAACCATATAAACTAATACAAAACATGAAACTTTGACAATTATCTTTTAAATTGGATAAGTATGATCAATACCACATCAAAAACAGGTTTTTAAGTTCAAAAACAGTTTAGGGTAATGATCCTAGTCCAATTCCAGCCTTAAAAGTCGAAAAACTACACTCTGGAACACCAACTCGTCAAGTTGGTCAGTTTTGTGCTTGGACTCGGCGAGTCCACTGTCCAGACAGCCAAAAAATCGATTTTTAAAGCATAAACAACAAGTAGCATCAAGTATAATTGAAAACAACCCTAGGATCTGATACCACTGAAGGGTTTTGAGCATTCTAACACTCCTATGGTGTACATGCAACCCTAGATGCTTTGGATCTATGTTTTCTCTATTATACATGCATACATTCAATATTCCAAAGCTTCATCCTAACTAGCATACTATGGAGTATTAACAACATGAAATACAAGTTAGATGACATACCTTTTAGTGTAGTTGAAACCTTGGACCTTTAAGAACTTAGTGCCCGAAGTGTTGCACCTCAAATAGAATCACACAACACCACCACCAAATGAAGGACCTTGAGAAGAGGTCACTTGCACTCATAAAATCGGCTTGCCCTCTTGTGTTTCCATAGTCCCAATTTCATGAGCTAGAGGGGTTCTTATATAGTGTGGCTTGATTATGGTTACACCATGCAAACCCTAATGTGCATGACTTTCCATATTCCTCATGCTCCATGGGTTTAAACCTCCATGGGTCACCACATGGGTTTAGCCCAACATAAGGAACTATGGATCATAAGCCCACATTATAAGAATGAATGATTTACATAGTCAATCCCCATATATTTAATTAGTCTCTTTTGATCACAAAATTAATTCCAAACTAATTATTGATCAATACTAATTAAATAATATGATTTCATATTAATATATTAAAACTTATAATATATTAATAAATCATAGATAACCATTTCTCAATTATCCATCCTTCAGATTGTTCTGGTGCCATGCAACCCAAATGGACCATGCTACTCTCGTTTCAAGTACATACCAATAATAGTTATGGGCTTACACACTTAATCCAACACTATTCGGATCACCAGTCTGAGCATTTATTTGATTTTCAGTAGTTTCAGGTGAGTCTCCTCAGTGTGCTTGGTGGGTCGAAGGCACTAATGTCGGCCCATGATTTATTATGATTAGGATGCTAGTTGTCTGTGTGACTCTTGTATGTGTACTATGTGATATGTATACCGGGTGGGGTCCGATGCCAGGCGAGGCCTGATGGGTGTATTGTATGTTATTTATCTTAGTGATTCTTGCATGTGTTTATATGTCTGTATGAATGTCGGGCGGGGCCTGATGAATGTGATGGGGCAGGGCCCATCTCATATTCTAAAAAGATCTTTTTCGAGCCGGGATCGATGTCGGGCAGGGCCCGATGGTTGTCAGGCATGGCCCGTTGTATGTTGATATGTATGGTAGGGTGTTTGGGGGAACTCACTAAGCTTTATGCTTACGGTTTTCAACTTATGTTTCACGTACTTCTGGATCGAAGGGGAAGAGCTTGGGATGATCGCATTGCACACACCACGACCTCAATTTATGTGACTCTGATGTATTGAGAAGAATGATTGATATCCTCTGATTTTCTTTGATGGTTTTATGAACACGTTTTGGGTGATGGTTTTATTATTATTAAAATGAAATTTTTGGTCTTAAATTTTGGGACGTTACATATTGGATAAAGAACCTAAGAATGTTTGGAACCTACTTCTCGAGTATTAGTTTATTCAAACCTCCACAGTCGGTCATACTAATGGAAGTAATTAGTGATTTAAGACTATCATGAGTGTTAGTGGATTGTCCCTAGAGATTGGACATAGTATAGAGATTGCTCTAACACTTATGAGTACTTAATAGAGATGTAAGTATTGGAACAAACCACACTTAGATATTACTTCATGGATCAAGTCATGAGTAATTATAAGATGATAATATTTATTATTCTTCAAACCGAGATGCATGTGGGAGGGGGGGGGGGGTTTCATTACAAATCTATCATGAATTGGCCTACTCCAACGCTATCCGTAACTAGTAGTAAAAATGGGTATGTTCATGGATGGTATGTTAATTAGACAAAAAGTATGTTGTCAAAGTTTATTTGTCCTTTCTCCCTTAACATGATAAGCGATATTTATGCCCCCTCGATGATTTGGTGCTAACATCTAATGTACCTGGCCGAGTCCTGATTGAAATCCATGTGTTCAGTTTAGTAGTCAGATGAAGTCATGACAAATCTTTATCGGAAAACATAATCTTGAACACTGATATTGAACCTTGTCAATGAATTAGGTTCATGCAATATCTAGAACAAAGGAATAAATAATTACTTGTCTAAGGGTTGAATCTTGATTAGATCGTAGTTCAGCAGTTGCATTGGATGACATACTCTCTGTTGATTATTAGATAAGTATTGGACCTTATATAGTTGATGACTTGTCCAAGTGGGAAACTGGAGTTGGAAAGAGTATGTAAGGTCATTAACTAATTGGCAATATTTCTAAAATAGCAAGGTTCTTTTAGGTTGCCCTCATGACCCAATTAAACAGTAAGGCATTAAGAGAAAATATGGTTGTTAATTTAAGATGAATTAATAAATTAATTGGAAATTATTTTGGATTTAATTAAATAGATTGAATTTTAATTAATTCATTAGTAATTAGCTGGAATATTCTAGAACCCTCCAGAATAATGATAGGGAACGATTTTTTATAACTATAGGGAGTATCCATAGCAATTTGAATTTAGTTGGAGACTATAAATAGGATACTAGAGATAAAACCCTGACAATCCTTGCATCTCCTAAATTTCATCCAACCATTCCTTTCCTTCCTATATTGACAAAAATAATAATCCTTTAGGGCTATTGTGATTTTCGAAAAATACCTCCTATCTCCTAAATTTCTTTCTTGCTAGTTGGCGTCTTAGGTGTGAAGCAAAAGATGGATTTTTGGTTTGGGTCCTTATCATCCAATCAAAGTGCTTATTAATATATCTTAATAAAGGAACGAAGAAGATCAAGATCAAGATGTTACTAATTTTACAAGTTTTAAAGTAGGTTTCTATAATAGTAAAACCTAGATCCATAGGATACATGTACACATAGGGTTTGTGCTGTTTTATGTTGTGCAAACTAGTGTGTATATAATGCAATATTTCGCATCATAAAGAATATAATAGATATACATAATATATATAATACAAACTTATATTTGTGTACTAGATGAACCTTGCAACTTACAATGTCGAATTAGACCTTGCAACTTCACAATTTTGAATTAGACCTTGTAACTTGGCAAGGTTGAATTGGGATTTGCACCTTGGCAATGTTAAATTGGTCCTTGTAACTTGACAAGGTTGAATTCGACCTTGCAACTTGAAATTAAACAACTTATCGATTTGGAAGACCATATCGATCCGATCCGGCCCAACGGGTGTGGTATGTCATCAACTTCAAATAAAGTTTCTAAACAACTAACATTTACCATTAACTTCAAAGATAGTACATAATATACCCTAACATACTACTTATAGACAACAAAAAGAAAGAAATTTTCCTTTAAGGTTGTTTCTTTTAGATCAATAAACCGATGATAATCACCAATGATAAACACGCATTAGAGGATCAACTCAACCAAGAGATCCACAATTCGGTCTTTATTAAAATTTGAAAAGAACAATAAATTGCTTCAGGAAATTATAAGAGCGAGAAGTTGCAAGAACGAATGGAAACTTTAATGGTACATGTATAGAAGCGTCGACTTGAATTTAATGATGTCTAGGGAAATTTTATCTCCGATTTAGAAAGACAATTGCAAAATACCATTATAGAAGCTCGGAAGAAAATGTAAGTTGAGAGAGAGAGAGAGAGAGAGAGAGAGAGAGAGAGAGAGAGAGAGAGGTAAACTATTTATCTTGGAAATAAATACAAAAAAATATAATCGTTTAAGGAGAGATGAGGGTAAAAAGACATAAATACCCCCATGTGCTTAGAAATGACACCGGACTCAAGGGCCTTGTATGCATAAAAAATAGAGGGCATTGATGGTTAGGGTGGAAAAATAGTTTACTGGGTGAAATCCATGACTTTTGACATAGCACGAGAACTGAATATGTAATTAAGCCAATAAAATATTTATAGATCAAGCCACCAGGATTCATTTCAACTGGACCCGGCCGTTGAGACATGTTACTGTGATCTTTCAACTTTATTACTTTGATATTACTTAAAAAGTTGCCAAACATATTTTAAGAAGTAGTTTTGTGGATTGTAAGCCAACACAAGCGCTATAGTCGCTGCTCATCCCGACTGCATACTGCACATGACGACAAAACTAGTCTGGGATTTCCCCATCATATAAACCAACAGATTCCACACTTCTTTTCTACAATAATTTCCTCTTTCTTCTTTCTTCAACAAAATCACACAAATTCCTTATTCCCATTCATTTCTTGAATCACAAATCGCAAAAATGGATCAACTTTTTGATTCAGAAGAATCCAGCAGTGGTTGTGAATCTGGTTGGACCCTTTACTTACAACACTCCATCCCCCATGATGTTTTCTCATGGAAACAAGCATCTCATGGTGCACAAGAACACGATCAAGAACATGAAGATGAAAATGATGATGAAGAAGATGATGATATGTCGATGGTTTCGGATGCTTCTTCAGGTCCACCACATTTTCAACCACATCAAGAACACGAAGAAGAAGAAGAAGAATACTTCAACAACGACGACAACCATGTTTTCAGCGATCCTCCATTGACGTTGGTTGCTAGTAAAAGACGAAAGCTTTTTAAGCAAACAAGTTTCCATAGCCATAGACATCTGCAAGATTTGCCTGCAGCTTCTCTAGATGACACTGCTAGTTCTCCCTTTTTCAGCTTTTCCAATGTAAGCATCTTTTTGATTCCTCGTGTGTTGCCATTTCATTCGATTCCACGTTTTTCATTTCTCTACACAACTATAAACAAGATTCACGATTCGTATCTTTCATTCGTTTTCAACACTGAACCCTTATTTTTTCACAAAATAATCATCAAGTTTAATCGCTCTTAGCAAACTTCATGGTGCTTTTTGTTAGCGAGTATAATAGTTAGAAAAATTTCACATACGCGACCTTGAAAAACGATGTCATACTGGTCTTCTCCGATGTGCTAATTAAGATATTCGTTGAATCATCGATGGTTCTGAATATTAAATTTGATTAGAAGTCTTACGTATTTTTTTTTAACTAAATAGTCATCTAAACAACGTTTTATTTATTTATTTTTTGTTTTACAGAAGGATCTACAAGTGTGCAACAAACAATCTACAAAAGAGGATGATAACAGTTTTTGTTATTCACTCGGCCATTCCACAACCTATTTTGAGGTACTTACTTTTATGATTGTTATATATATAAAAGTATTGTTTATTTTATGTTTTGCCCTTTTACTAAATGCTGATATTGGTCATACATACGTCACAATTTTTTATTATATTACGACTAAAGAAAATTTCTTTGACTAATAATGAAACATATTTGTATTATTTATTTTCCTATGCTTTTTATCAAATCTTTCAAGTTTTTCTATTTAAATTGTGGGGTTATACTCTGACGTGTTTTTGATGCCTAACAAGATATGTACTTCCCAATGAACAGATGGTCTGAAGTAAAGTTCGTCTCAAGCAAACACTAGAAGGAATGAAAAGGCTAGTCACACCAAATGGAATTTAGATTATAAGATTAGGGATACTTTTTTGTATTTTTTTTTTCTTTTATTAGTGATGAGTAGTGCTTACAATGGGTGGTCAAGATCTTTGAGATAAACCAATGAAATTTTTGAATATCGGTTTTTCATGTTTGGTTATAGATATGCAAAGATTGGTAAAACCATATTCATGAAAGTAATATCATACACATCAACTTTATCTTGTTACACAATGGATAGGAGGCAATATTGCATGCGTTAAAACATAATTTGGTTGCTTGTCGTATAAATTTTGCATGACAGAGTCAGACAAACACAAAAGGAACTAACGGTGAAAGGATTAATGGACTGGTCACTTCACTGACTAGTCCGGCCCACAACATTGGTTTGTCCGGTGGGTGTTGTTGTGTCGTTAACTCAGGAAGATGTTTCCCTTTGGCTACATTGAGTAAATCTTTGGGCTTTTGGGAGAGGGTATTTTGAGAGTGGTTTGGGTTAAATTTGTGTCTTTTGATTTAGTTAGGGGAATTTTTATTACTTTGGGTTTCATTTGACTTTTTTTTATTAATCTTTTTTTTTAAAATATAATTCCTAAATTTTGCTTGATGTATCAATCAGATTCAATTGATGGTACGGAATCCCAATCAAGTGGATGATACAAGATCAAATATGGAAGAAGGAGAAGAAGAAGATGATGAATCTATGATGTATTGATGCTCTCGACTCCTCACCCTTTTATATATATATATATATATATATATATATATATATATATATATATATATATATATATATATATATATACATATATATATATATATATATATTTAATATATCTATATATATATATATATATATATATATATATATATAGGCTTAGGTTATTCTATTTAAATTAATTATTGTGTTATTGTATGCATAAATGTGGACCAATCATTTTACTTATTTTAAGAAATTGATTAATACATATTATTAAATTAAAGATAATTGAAAAATACCATCTAATTTCATTCTAAGGGTATTTTAGACAATTGAGATAAATTTAAAAAGGAAAATTCTATATTTTTTGGGATAATTAACTCTCTTGATTTTTAAATTCTAATTTTTTTAATTACTTTAATTTTAATTATAACGTAATTTTTATAATTAAACACGATTTTATTATGTTAGAATGTCATTCTGTTAGAATCATATTCTCTAGGAATTTCAGGATATATATTTCTATTAGCTAGAATGCCAACACCGACTAATAACAAATTTTTGGATAGAACTTCAAATTTTTCATTACATTCTGAAAAATGTAAAAACTTTATATAATAGTCTATGACAATGAAATACTCACTAATAACAAACAAAATGATGTATATTATTCGACCTGAATATTCTAGCAGAATAGCTCTTTCCTTTTTTAAAACCAGTGACACGGTTAGGGTAGGCTACAAATCAGTATATATTAAAGGTGATTTTGTATGATGTTAGTTGACGTGTACCATGAATGCAAGCCATTAGAGAAATCATGATTTTGTATGATGTTGGTTGACGTGAAACTGCTGCTAGCCATGTTCCAGTCCTTCGATTTCTGTGAATTAAGCAATATTAGTCTTTGTGGAATCAAATCACTTCGAAATGAGGACATACCTATAACAGATGGATTATGAGAAAGGGGTGGGGGAGAAAAGCCATGAAAAACCTCATCAACCAACAATGAAAGTAGGTGATGTCGATGAGGAATTAACACAAACACCTGGTGGGCGAAACTGATGGCTGATGGGTTCTTCATAGTTTTATTGTTTCAATCTCTTATAAAAATTAAGCGCATTTATTAAGAAAACTGAAACGGCCTAATGTGAAATTTAAAATCAAAGAGAGGTTTACCTGCGATCTGTGGAGCTTTGTGTGATCTTTGAAGAGTGTGAGCCAACCTCCCGACTTCTTTCCCATTTATATGAGCAGGTAAAAGTGAATGTTACGAAAATACCCAACAACCAATGGAGTTCTAATTTCTTTAAGATTTACAAAAGTTTCTAGAAAGAAAAAAAAGGGGGAGGGGGATAAACTTCTCGTTGACACACTATGCCGGAACCGATAGAGAAGCAACCGATAGCTGAAGATCTGGACCTGGTAACCAGCAACAAAGGGTAGGTTCGGGATTTGAGATTCTTCCGGTTGACTTTGCCAAATCGAATGAAATTGAAATTACCTCGAGGAGATCGAATAAATTGGACTGTTGGGCTTCGATTTGAAGAAGTTGATTGCGGTTCACAGATAAGTCTTTAGATTCTTGTTGGATTGAATCGATACTGGAGCTGCCAATGATCTATGCAACTTTGGAGCTTGACCTTTCTTCACCTTTCATCTGATCTTTGATTGATTGTAAAAGGTCGGTGTTTTTGTCTAGGGTTTTAGAGGGTAAATATAAACGATTTTGCCTAAATTAAAGGGTTTATGATTTGAATAATTAATTACTAAAATTAATTAAAAGCTAAGATTACAATTTTACCCCTATCTAGGTTTTTAAAATGATTGGTCCATATTTATGCATACAATCACACAATAATTACTTTAAACACATGAACCTATCTCTCTCTCTCTCTCTCTCTCTCTCTCTCTATATATATATATATATATATATATATATATATATATATATATATATATATATATATATATATATATATATATATATATATATATATATATATATATATATATGTGTGTGTGTGTGTGTGTGTGTGTGTGTGTGTGGACCGCAAACTCAAGGCCCAAACCCAATGCTAGACCGAAAACACATGAGTTTTCGGTCCAAGCTACAAATAAACTAAATATTATTTTCGGCCCAAAACTAAAAATAATAAATGCTCAGAAAAGCAAAGGATAAACCATATTTTTGACCCAACATTAAACAATTACAAGTTCTATTAGTGTTTTAGTTTTTTTAAGTGACTTACCATATTTTTATTAAATCAAGACTACGAAGAACATTAGCATAAAAACTTTTGCCAAAGAAATTATAGTGACAAATGGTTTCTAAGACAATCTACCCAAATTGCATCAATTTTTTTGCCTCTAACAAAAATCCTAGAATAGGAAGTGCTTATAATATATTCAAAAAGAAAATCTTTTTAATATGGGTCACTTTGAAGATCAAGTTATAAGTTATTGTGTTAAAGCCAAACAATCTATGTAATAAGTACAAACAAACCGAACTACTTTTCAGACAAAAAGAACCCGGCTATGAAATCAATCCCCCCAGGCCACTAACTCGGAATGTCCCACTACAAATCAACTTTAAACCACAATTCTTAGCAAGTTGACAAATTATAAAGAGCATCATCATCGGTGCAAGGGGTACCATATTGCAAATGAATGGCAACTCATCATCATTTTATCAGTTTTTTGAAAGAGAAATTAATTGGAAAGAGAAATCATTTTTTGGAAAGAGAAATTAATGGGAAATAAAGTTTTTTGATTAAAATATTGATACAATTAATGTTTGCAAGTCTTGCAAACTGTGAAAGACAAAATAGACATGACATTTGATTTTTGTGACGTGACATTGCAAATTAGTTTTGCAATAGCTGTTGTGGAAGATCTATATGATATTTCTTCGTTGTCTTTCTTTCTCAAATTGGACACATAATATAATGTTACTCCACCCATCCTATTAAGAGTAGCTAGGGTATACGGCCAATATATAAAATCCAATCATCCATCCTAAGTATTAACTTTAATTCGAGTGTACTTATTCCATCTTGTTTTACCATTATCATTGATCACCTACTCAAGAAAATAACAACGCATGAAAAAAAAAAAAGACATGTGTCACATAACTTCCAATGACAAACATCCTCTTGGTCATTTAAGAACACATTATCAAGAATAAACAATAAATCATGCATTTCTTCTCTTTTTCCTGAGTGAGTCTGTCTCCTCTAAGGCCAAACACAACCATCATCTACCCAACGTGATCCTATATTTCAACCCTCTTGACTTTCCATTTTTCAATACATACAGTCATCAAAAAAAGGTTAGAAAAAAGAATTTCATCACCATATGTCATTCTAAAAATCTATTTGATAAGTATACCCAATGTTTTTTGACCATGTAAATGTACATGTGAAAGTTATGATCTTCCAACCATTTATCATTTCAACAATTTTCAACCAAAAACTAAAACCATATCTAGAAATATTACTATTTTGAAATTGCTCACTATCCCTAATGAAAAGTATTATTGGTTTTTCCTAAGGACCATTTTTTTCAAGAATCTTCATCTCCAATTGGATTAAAGTGATCAATTAGCAGCAAGAAAAGCTCCTAATCCCCAATCCAATAGCTTCTTTAGGAGCTACCATCTTCTTCCGAGAAACTCAACTTATTCTTTTTATCACTTATCTTCCTCCTTAAAAAATAATTCCCCATATATTCTTTCTATGTATATACCCAAGCTTTCCGAAAGATATATAATAATTGTTCTTCTTCCCCTAACTAATAACATTATTTCCTTCCAACTCGATAATATCACAAACTTTTCTATAAACGAACTCCAGATGATTATTTAGTCATATTATTACCAACTAGCAATTGTGATACTCGATAATATATACTGCCAACATTTTTGTACCTCAATATAAGATATATCTAGTACATACAAATTTCTTTTTAATAAATTAAATTTTAATCTAGATACCAAGAAAAAAACACTTAAGAATCCCTTGAATTCTCGTTACATTATATGTTGACTACTCCTTCCAAAATGCCATCATTTGCGAAAAACCAATGGGAAATTCGAAATTTCCCATCTCTACCTAAACACTTTATATACTTCATTATTTTCTTTTATATGACGCCTACATTTAGTCGAGAAACATATGAATTTTGATATCCTTAGGTCAATAAATCATACGATTAGTTAAAATCGATTTAAAGAAAATTGTTTATCTTTTTTGCTAAAATTTTGGCAATCACCTTGCATGGAATCCTAATGACACTAACTAGTCTAAAATTCACGATGCATTTGATTTCATAAAGTTCAATGAATGATCACATCATCTTCCTACATATCATATATTGCATACAATTCAATCAATTTTTTCCACAA